GGGGAGGCAGGATGGAAGTTCAAAGGTAAATAGGTATTTGAAATTCATTATAATTCTAAAAATGTAAAATTAAATCAAGTAGACTTATCTCTGAAATATCGTAAGCCAGACATCAAATTGTAAATGAGGTGGTAAACAATGAACATAAAAAAAAAAAAGAAATGAAGAATAGAAAACTACAAGCTACAGGCATTAACCTTATCCCTACGAGTCATGGATCAAAGGCCATGTCATCATATTTGCTGACTTGCATTCAAAATATTATTGAATTACTATTTTATGAATTTATCTCAATAAGTATGGTATCAAATTGTAGATTATAATTCAAATTTTATATTACACATTATTCAATTTCTTAATTTAAAAGTAAATATTAAAAACCACTTAAACAATGATTTTTATGTTACATGGTACATTTAATGTAGCATTGATTCATATTAGATGTTTTTGGTGTCAAATTACAAAGTCTATATAGTTTTGTACCAATTAGAAACACAAATTACCAATATTAACAAGCCAGAATATAAAATAAGAGCCTCCTATATTTTCTATTTGCCAATATATCACTCATGTACTGAATCAAACACAGTGGCCCTACTCACCTCTTTCCATTTTTGGAAACAGTCCCTTACTACACTTACTTGTGTATATGACATGTGAATAACCAATCAAATACAGCTTAGTTACTAAAGTTGATAAATTATAATAGAATTCCATGGTATCAATATAGTAATTTATGATTTTTTGATTATTCAAATGTATATATATATATATATATAAAACTAAAAAACATTTCATTTCACATCCTCCACGTGCAAAATTTCTTGAGGCTTAGCAAGCTATGAGAAGTAGTAACCAAGTACAAAGGTCATAACAAGAAGCGATAACTGTTTGCTTTACTTCTTCATTTAATGTTATATGTTTTAAGAAAAATAAGTTTAAGAACTTGTTTGTAAATAGCAATAATCTATATAGATATATAATGTATAATAATTGAAATGTGACTGTATTTTACAAAATACTAGTCTACTAAAACCCAGCCAAGACAGGTCACTTTGTAAAGACCAAAGGTCAGTTTTATATTATTGGATATGGTGCATGTGTGCCGTGTCACCATAGCTTCTGTATTGTTAGCCAGGCATGGCTGAAAGGTCAATATAATAAAAATAATATATATATATATAAATGTATAATGTTATGAGATTTAAGCTATTTAGACTAAACATTTGTGTCTTTGTGTTATAATTTGTAGTCATTCTAGAATGAAAGAAGCATAATTTATATATATTTCCTAATTTTTTATGGTGGTTACGAGGTAGGTCAAATTGAACGATCCCATATAGTTAGGGTAGAGAAAATAACAGACAAAATATAAAGTTTTACTGAAAACAAATGTTTGAAATGTATTTTGGATGTTTTAGAGATTACACAAATAATATTTAAGATTTGGGGGATGAAGAATAGTTTTTAATAATGAAATGAAAATCCCTTCGCACTCAGACTAGTAATAAAACAGACTCAATATTTTCACAAACACATCTTTAGTGTACAAAGGACTTGGAATCATTACTAAAAGTCTACCAAATTCTGTGAAGATACACATACAGCATTAAAAATTGTAGTATGAATAGTTAATGTGTACAAATGTGTATACAAACTCATGTATTTTATGCCAAGCCCATCACAAAAGGGTTAATATAATAATCTAGACTAGAAGAAATATGTGGATAACAGAGTTGAAGTAGAATCCAGAACCAATAATTTCAACACTGGATTTTAAGGGAGAATGAATGGAACAGCTTTATAAAAATACTGGACCTAAAGGACACTCAGAAAAAAAGGATTCTTTTCATCAGGGTATCTCTTCACCAATAATACCCTTTAATTCAGACAACAAAGTTGGTTTTGTAAGCATTAATGGTATATTGAAATTATAGAGCCAATAATAGGACAATGGAAGTGATATAAACAGATACGACAAATACTATGTTCTGCTCCTACAATGTAAGGTTCTTGGGGGAGCAGTCCAGATGTGTAATGAAAGGACATACTACAAAGGCAGTAGCTCCTATTCATCCATATTTTAACATCAAGCTCTTTTTCATATTATTATTTACCACATACAAAACGATCATGCTTTTTGGGCAGGAGAACATTACTTCTGGAACACACTGGTAATGTTGAGCTGAAAATAAATATGGATATACAAATATATTACTTTAGCATCCGTTAATGTCCATAGGTATACAGATGTGATGAAGTTTCATATATATGGGTGTTTCATACCATGATTCCAGTGCTTCTTAGTGTTCGTGGAGGTAATGTACAACTTATGTATCCCAGCCCTTCGGAAGTACACAGACTCATGGAAATTATGTTACATAAACTTCACAAAAGATGCCATTCACGTATGGTCACATATAGGTACAATAAAGTCACCATGAGTTTGTTGTAAAGATTATTTTTCTTGTACTTTTTCTTCTTCCATCCAAATAAGTAAAGGTGTCACATTTCAAAATCTCTTTTGACAAATCTGAACATTTTATGGATGTTATATAAATATCTTCAAGTTGCCAATAATACACACTGCCACTATTTAACATTTCATTTCTTCTACACTTCCAGAAACCTATAATCTTTGTCAAATATTTCTAAAAACATGCACACATCATACTTTCACTAATCTACCCATATGATACATCTCTATATTTATATTCGAGTTCTTCTGCAAAACATGCTAGATTCATGCCACATGTTCAAGAGGTGTACATGTACTTTTGGTAGGAGAAGGTAAAGGTAATTAATTTGACTAAATACAAAAACAAAAACTTATAAATGAAAAAATGTAACAAATCAAGATTCCAACTCATCAGTTACCAAATTTTGAAATTATCGACTTACTTCACAAAGCTCATAGATCCGAGAACGATACTTTAAAACTTCTGCTTCCAACTCCAAAACTTGTTCTGCTCTTTTTCTACTTGATTCTAATTGGTTTTCTAACATAGTCTTAGTATCCATAAGAATTCTGTTATTCTCTCTAAGTTCCTGTAAAGATATACTCAAAGTGAAGTACCATTATATTTAAAACCACTAAGCATTTGTGTGAGAGAATCTAAAATAAATTACTAGTACGCCTCTAATTTACAGTTACCTCCCTTCATGATAAACTAAATACCATTTGGACTAATGAGTTCTTGAACCTCCTTTAAACGTATTTAGCTAAAGACAGTTGGGCTTTTTAAACTATCTGGACAATACTGTTACAACAGCGGAAGTCACGTGACGCTGCTGGCACGTTTGGTGTTGGTAGTGTGCGTAAAATTTCTCAAATGATCATGAATGATTAGACAGGCCCGAGTGCATTCAAGACGCCCCCTTCTTTAGTATATAAACCTAGCAGAAAAAGCCTGCGGATGATGAATGTATGATAAAGCGAACAGTAGACAAGGTAAGTTTTGGGCAAAGTTATCGAGATTGTGAATCGCTGTGGTTTATAGCATGTAT